ATTGCGATGTTAAATAGACAATGTTAGCTATCAAAGAGCTACGTTGTTTTTCATTGGGACCTTCGTCCCTTCAAGGCTAGCCCTATAGGGCCTAGAGTAGGATTTTTTATTTGGTGAGATGATTTAGTATGGGGAGTTTTCAAGGCGGTGAATTTTCTAGGGGCGAGTTTGTAGAGGCGAGTTGACTGCCAACGCACCACAGGACGTAAGCATGATCGAATTCGAGTCAACTCGGCACCAAGTCAACTTGGCCACAGTTTCGCGGCCCCCTCATAATACATTTTTAATTATTGTTTTAAAATGTAATAATTAGCACGTTGACATTTAAATAAGTTTAACTGGGTTCGTAAATACTATAGGCCTCAAAATACTGTGCCGAGACTTGGGCAGAGTTGACATTTATACCGCCCATGGTTATAGTAAAAACGCTGAATAGTGATACTCAAGCGTCTCAAGCTCACGTAGAAACATAGTAAAAACAAGCGTTGGTACCGTGTATGCCAGTCTACAACAAGCGTCGCCTAAATGTAATAATTAGCACGCTGAAATAGGCTAGTAAATAAGTTTAACTGGGTTCGTAAATAATATTGGCCTCCAAATATGTTGTGGCTGAGACATGGGCCGATTAAACGTAGAAATATGAAACCTAGATTAAAAACGCTGAATAGTAATACTTGAGCGTCGCAACATGCAGACGTTGGTACGTGTAGGTTAGTCTACAAACGTCGCCTAAAGTAATTGATTTTACCCGGCAGAACGAAACGAAAGAAGGAAACTCCGCTTTTCAGTCGTCTTAGGCCCTTGTTTTTTGACAAACAATGATCTTTCAGAGGTCAAATTGCTGTCAAGAATATGAATTGGCTGCTTCACAGCAATAATCTGTAAGCCAGCGTTTGTCATTACAGTGTATTTTTATAGTTTTACTTGGTAAAAATGAACTTAAACCAAAATCAAAATATTGTAGAAAGAGTCCATCTTCTGTTGAGTTGTGTGTCCATTTTTAACACATTCCCAGTTCTGTGTTAGGAGCCATTGCTCAAAGTTAGTAATGCAAGTGACTGTTTTTGCAAAATTGGTAATCCTTCTTGATTTAGCTTCCAAGCAATGCATTTATGATCACTTTTGCCAAGTGGGGTTAAGGGACAGGCGAGCTGTCATAATTCTCCATATTACATTACGTGTACAACTGCATAGAGCTTTTTTGCCAATACACCTGGAGTTTGAAGCCAAACTCCGGGTGTTACCTAACAACCAAGATCTAATAATCCCTGATAAACTCAGCAGGCCGTCAAGGATTACACTGACTAAAATCAATAGTTAACAATGCTTACTAGACCTCCTGACTGGGTCTGGTTAGGGGATTCAAAACAAGGAAACAATTTACACCCTTCACAATAATACTATTGTTAAAATATAACATTTTAAAAACCGTATTTGTATTTGTAACGAGGTTGAAAAACTCCCAAATCCCAAATTACTCCATTCGTTGAGGAATTTCAATTAAGAAATTAACAACAACATTTGAGGCAATGAATCGCGATTTTTGGACATGTCACCCGATTAAAAAATGCTGCTTCTCATTTTTGAAAGAAAAATGTAATATCTATATCTGTAATAACAATGAATCTTAAATATCCAATTTATTTATCGTACCTTTTACTTTTCTAGACGCCTAGCCTATGCCTATCCTAGGCCTGGTTCATGGTATGTTTACAACACAAATTCGCATTTTATATAGTCTGTAAATACCAGCCGTAGTAACTCTTAGCGCACAGTTAGACATCAAGTTTGTTAAGTTGAACGGCATAAAATGTCTGTATTGTAAGACTAGCAACTCTATAAAGCACGAGTACCAATAGGTCGATTTTATCAACGTTCGAGTTGGAATTCAAACAAAACACACAGAAGACTTGATGTTGAATGCAACTAGAGCATAAACATACATTTGATAAAACAACCTTTATTAATTTAATTTACGTGGATTTCATGCATAAAACTATTTATTTTACATCGAAATCGGCTGGAATCTTAAATAAACAAGCCCGGAAACAAGTCCAATGTATACCTGGTGAAAATTTCTCGTACAACATGCCTACAAGATAGTATAATAAGTATTAAAATGCATGCCATCGTGTTGGGATTAAATATTTCGACATTAAGTATTTCATTATCAAAAATGATGAATAATTTCTCAAATCTACAGGCGTATTATCGTACTAAAAAGCAAATTATAACCCGTTGGAAAATGGACGGTTCCAAATCGCCCAATACTTGCACCAACGTGTGATGTGAACATGCAAGCTTAGCTCTTGAGGTTTGTTTTGAGTAAAAGAAGACAGCACATTTTAATCTATTATCTCCCTCGTTATAATTATTTTATAACTAATAAAGCAGATTTCAGATTTGTTTTAAATTAATACCGTAACGCCCCGGGAGCGTTGCATTTTTTCAAAGGTGAAGTTTTTTTCATTAGAGGTGAATTGTAAAATCAAAAATTACCTAAACAAGCTGCTTTAAACGGTCAATAAGTTCTGTATTTGTAGAGGAACAAGTTAATGTGCAGGGTATCTCCAGGCCTCCTGCTATTTTGCTGTTCCTTCGTTTGTTGCTGGTTATTTGAACATCAATAACTCCCTTGTGTTTCAAAAAGAAATGAAATATCTTCAAGTTCTCTTGGGGTAAATGGCCGACGATGCAGCGCGGTGCTTCTCCTTTCACAACAGCAATCGCGTGTTTGTCAAAAACATTGTCGGCCTCATGAACTGTTGGTAGAATCTCTCCGATTTTTGGAATCCAAGTTTCTTGGTACACATGGAATCCTCTAACAGTACTTTCAATTTTATATGTATACTGGTACATTTCCGTAGCAGAACTTGAAGATGAAACGGCCATGTTTAGACAAACATTTTTTACGCCCTCAACTTGAAGAAACATTCTTACTACGGTATAGACTTCATTGACCAGACACCTTGACAAATCAGCGTCGAACACGCGACACATTAACAATACACGATTACCTGTTGTTTGCCGTCAGTTTGCTGCTTACCCTGTTTTTACAAGGCTAACGAAATACCATGAGAGAAACACAAAATAGGCCTAGGCCTAGTAATCGTGAAGACAGTAAACATCAAACGTTTAGGGTGAGCTTTTTTGAGTAGTATTAATTTCATATCAAAGAAAGCAGCACACAGTATTACTCCTTGTTTGTCAACCTTTTTATGGACTGGATACCCATGTGAATTGATTGGGCACTCATTGCAAATTGAAAAAACTCGTTTATTCTAAGCGTTTATTAGAAGGGGGTGTTTATTAGAGACAATACGGTATGTTAAATTTTCAACAACACAGTATACGTCTCTCGATTCGGAGGACCTACTGTAGATGAGGTTACATCTTTCTACACAGGCCTAATGCCAATGGCTAGCAAAAATGTGAGGTAAACATTACGCCGTGTAGAGCCGTACGCTAGCATACAGATGATAGGCATGGCAGATTTTATTTAGGCCAGCGTGTAACACCGCCTTACTTTGAATGTCTATGTACCTTCAATATTTTGATATTCATTTTGAAAAAAATAGTAAAATATTGATGATTGATTCTTAATATCGGTCTATAGTTAGGTCCACCGACGTTCGTGAATTACGCACCCAGGAATGTTGTGCTAGGGTGCAGCCTTCGCTATGTAGGCCTACTGGGTCTGTTCTCAAACTGTGATCGATTATACTGTAAACTGAAGAAATTAGAAATGATGACTGATTCTAATATCACTTAAAACAAATGATTTTAACTAAAATGCAGAGTACAACATTTGACGTTTCCAATGGCAAATGATCTACACTGCCTAGGGCCAGTATTTATAGGATTAAAGGATTAACACTTCAATTATCATAAGCAATTACACTACTCATATCTGCAATGTCTTATCAGCATTGGATAAGAAGAAAATGGAAAAATTTCTCTACAGCAGTTGTACACGTCATGTAGATGCATTTCCTTTATAGTATAGAAGTCAGTTTTAAGTTATTTACTTGCAATACATTTGATACATTCATGCGGTTTAAGTCTCCAAACAGACAAAAACCAGTTGTAGAGATGTACAGTAGTACACCACCAACAGTAGCATAACAAAGATGCTTGCGGCCCCCGGCTAAAAATTCTTCTTCCTCTACTGTGGGCTGAGTCTAGGTAGAGAGCCTAGGGGTATGGGCAAACCCCTGCTTCAGCCAAGAATGTATCCTGATGTTCTTTACAGGTTCTGCTAATTTAGACAGCCCTGCTCACGGCAGATTGGAGGCTAGATGAAGCACGCTGCTGGATTACCAAGGCTTTCTCAAGGTCTGGGGCCTCTAGCGTCAGCTAGTGAGTGCTCCTAGCTGTTATGCGACTGGCCACCAATTAGGAAGTAAACTGGGAATATTCCCTGCTCTCTGTAAAGAAGCGGTTTGGCGCAGCGGGAATTAGTTTGGCTTCCCAACCTTGAGGTCAGGGTTTCAATCCCTCGCTGTGCATTTCGCTGTGTGCTTGAGCAAGGCACTTTATCTGCGTTGCTTTTCTCAACCTAGGAGTACAAATGGGTACCTGGTGGGGTTGCATGCTGTGCCAATATGGTAGCAATGACCAGGGAAAAACCTTACAGCGCTTTGTAACTGCAAGGAAAAGCGTTATACTGTACCAGAAACAAGTACAGTAGTGCATTTGTTAACATGCACATGGGCTCCTGTACTCAAGACAATGTCTTAAAATCACAGGGAGAGGGATTCTTAATAGAATAAAATAACGAACACAAACTTCAAAATAGTTCACTGCACACTCAGTGGTTACCATCAGTCAGCAAACTATGCTATTTTGTTTTGTACTTTAGTTGATCCCGATGTCAGTCTATTTTTCATCTACCATGCTGCCACTTTAATTATCTTTGAACTGTTTTCATGGATTAATTATTTTCCTTAGATTATTTTCAAACTAAAACAATTCTTTTTTCTAATTATTTTAAAACATACCTTGGAAATATCTGAGTTTGTGATTGGTGGGAAGGAAATCACCTGATCATCAGCATTTGTCACACATGGGTAAAGTTGTTTATCTTTAAGTAAATCCAGGTATCTACAAAAAGAAAAAAAAAAACAGTTTGCTGATTTACACTTTTTGTATTGTAAGAAAATAGAAATGGTAAAACTTAAAGCCAGGCTCCAGAGTGAAAGAATTTTTTGATACAGTATGTTGTACAATTTATTTTTCTAAGACACAAAAAAGGGTGTTTGACAAAAAACTTGGGAATGGGTCATGAGATACAGAAAAAGGTCAAAAAGAGCGTGATTACACCACCTTTCCTCCACAGTTAAATTTAAAAATCTATATTTCATTAACTGTTGCCAAGTTTTTGGTTAAACACCTCTTTTTGTGTGTTTAATTTGTTGATACTACTTTCCGGGTCATTCCATATGAACTCAACCAGAGGTCCGCAGGTGACCGATTCTGATTTGGCTAAAATTTATTTTGGAGATACCTCTATATAAATAATAAACACATGCAAAATTCTAGACTTTACTCCAAGTGGTTTCGGAGTTATGGCCCCCCCCCAAAAATCGGGTGCCACGCCCCCTTTTCGGCCTCGCGAATCGCGAACCTCAATTTGTAGGGTTTTTGGAGGTCAAAATCTTGGTATCTTGGTTAGGGGCTGAATTGATGTCAGAATTGATCTATCTTTTTTCATTTTCAAGTTATTGCCGTCTCAGATGTTTATCTTTTTATAGGCGGAAATCAAAAAATCAGATCAGTTTTCGAGTCCTCCCTGTGAGGGTAAGAGCACTTACATATAGTTAATTGTGCTAGAATCCTGCTATCTGAGGACAGGACTGTGTGTAAAAGAGAGATTGACTATATCCAAACCATAATATAGGAGTTAGGGATCCCTGAAAAGGGTTCCGGCTGAAAAAAGTGACATTTTTGCCGATTTTCGGGTAGCAGGTTCATCATGTGGGCAATTACCCATGGTAATGAAACTTTTTCTACTTAATTGTACATATCTTGCCTCTATTTAGTCAAAATTTCAACTTGTTTTCTCATCTCTTTCATTGCTAAATAATTTGGTCTAATGTAGGCGATTTTTGCTGAAAATGCCTCTATAATCCCCTTTTAGTCTGGTTGTAAAACTGCTGAAATGAACTTTAGCGAGAAAAAAGTAAAGGAAAATTAATTTTTGGTTTTTCTGAATCAGCATACCCTATAGTGTCTCAGAAAAAAAATCCCCATGCCTAGGGCTTGTCTCTTATACACATCTAGATGTGTATAAGAGACAGGCATACCCTATAGTGTCTCAGAAAAAAAATCCCCATGCCTGGGGCTTGGGCAATTTTTTTTTCAGCACTTTGAAATTTTGACCTAAAATACCCTATTTTAAACTATTTAAGATGGGGGTAGGGGAAATAAATTTATGTTTTTGGTCACTTTTACATATACTGTGGATATGAAATGTAACAACAACTTGGCTAAATAGTTACTCATCATTCTCATTTAAAAATTTGATCGGAATTATGACGTCATCATGATAAATTCCAAGATGGCGTCCATTAAGGTGGTAAAAACTATGTTTTCAATGTAAAAATAATTTTATTGTTATCAAAGTACAATATAATCCCAATACAATATTATATATACAGGAATAAAAAAAAACCATATATACATATATATATATATACATATATATATACATATAAATATATATATATA